CTCTCTCTCTCTCTCTCTCTCTCTCTCTCTCTCTCTCACACACACACACACACACACACACACACAGGTATACACACCCATCTGTTATGAGAACATGAATGCAGCAGAACTTCTGGAAAGAGCCTGAGACTAGAAGTCAAGAGGCATGACTCCAACTACCTCCAATGTGACCTTGACCATTCATAACTCGACACAGAACCCAAGCCTCACTACTTGCCAGCTGCAGCTCAGAGTGCCAGGATTAAAACGGCAATAAGACCAGTGCTCCTCTTAATGAAGTGACTGTAAAGGTGGGTTCTCCACTGAGAAGTGGAAAGTCACTACCTGGTCTGCATGAAAGCTTGGATGGTTGAAGTGCAAACCTCTGGTTAGATCTGTCAAGTTCTGGCCATAACAGCCCAAGCCACCTGATTCCTGGGTTTCCTCAAGTCTAGGGCAAGGAGCACTCCAAGTGGGGCCTGGATCGATTCCTTCATTCCGCCCCAGCCCCTTGCAGCTCTCAGTCATGGCCAATGCCACAGGCCAGGGTGCGATGGCTCATGCCTCAGCACAGGGAAAAGCAAGTGCTGCACCCTGTCACCAAGGGGAAACTCCAGGCCCAGTCACCCCCAGTCCCTGCAGCGGGGCCCTTAGAATGGGTCCCGTTAACAGGAGCTGATCGCTGCAGCCACTGTCAAGCGTTGGCAGGCCAGAAACAAGTTCTTCATGATTCTCAAAAAAAAAAAAAGGACCCTGCTTCTACTGCAAAAGTCTGAGTGGACACACGCCCTCCCCCACTCCTAGGCAGCAACAAGAAAATCTCGTGAACTCCTACTCCTGACTCTACAAGTCTCTCAAGGTGCTGCTGAAACTGGCCAAGGGAGTCGCTTTTCCTGGCCCCGCTGCTCTGTGAACCTGGCTTTGTTTTCTTCTTCAGTAGCTCACAGAAGGGCTTTAGAACGTGACACCTAGGGCTTAGAATCCTGGCTCTGCCACTTGTGGCCTTGCGCCTGGGCCTCCTCCCCACCTTCTCACCCTCGCAGTGGTGGAGGCAGTTCTCAGAGCACAGGAGGCTGGGGACGAGGGGCAGAGTGTGTGCTGCAGGCGCCCTGCAGTCTGAGTCCCCCTCAGGGGCAGCTGCATCAAGCCTTCTCCAGCTCCAACTGTGACGACCTGGTGCCTCTGTGACAGGTGGGGATGTAGAGGAACCCTGTACATGGCCTCCTTTACTAACCACTACACTTCTCCAGGTATAGGGTCTAATCGCTCTGTTTGGGACGGCCCCATTCGGTGAGAGACACAGTGCAGTGCCAGGAAGCCAAGACCACACAGAGCCGCAACCATCCACCTCCCGCAGCACCCTCCCCCACTGCTCGAGTCTTGGTGCTTCTCTCCCTGGCTCCTGTAAACCAGCAGAACCACCCCGGCCTGGACAGGCCAAGCATCACGCTGGGCAAGAGGCCTACCCACCTGTCGTAGATCTCGGAGCCCTCCTCTAGGCCGGGCAGCAGGCCCACAAGGAAGGCCTGGAGACTGGGCAGGAGCAGCTTCTGCAGCGGGAGGAAGTACTTCTCATACAGGCTGAGCAGCACGGGCCGCACCGCCATGGCGGCGTTCGCCAGGAGCGGGAACAGACCGCAGCTTTGGGAAGGAGAAAAGGGAGGGTTGGGGAGAATCAGGTACCACTCAGGAGGACATCAGCCTGCAGGAGGCAGTGTCTCTGTTTGCAGTGCTGGGGATGGAACCCGAGGCCATGCACGTGCCAGGCAAGCACCACCACTGAGCCACAGGCCCAGGCGCAGAAGGGGGCCATTCATTCACTCACTCATTCATTCTGGGAACTGAACCCAGAGGCACTTAACTATTTAACCACATCCAGCTCTTCTTGAAAATTTTATTTAGAGACAGGGTCTCATTAGGGTCTTGCTGAGTTGCTGAGGCTGGCTTTAAACTCCCAATCCTCCTGCCTCAGCCTCCCAAACTGCTGGGATTATAGGTATGTGCCACGGCGCACAGCAAAAGGAGTTTTCAAGAACAAACAGACTGCCGTTTGAACTGGTGATATAGATGAATGCTGGCAATGAGATGGTCATAAGATATTGTTAAGCAAAGAGCAGGCAACCAAGCTGCGTGCATACTCTGGTTCTCCTTCAAACACATGTACAGTCTGGCCACAGAGGCTCTGGAAGGTGACCGTCAGTCACCTCCCAGTGGTGGCTTAGGACCTGTGTGGTGCATGCACCCCTCCCCCACATGCATTCTGCTTGTCGTTTTTTAATCCTGTGAACTGAAAGATGGATTCTCATGTAACAGAAAGTCCTATGGCAGAGAAGCAATCGTACCTGTACAAGAACAAGTCCTTGGCCAGCCATTTGGTCCCCACAATTTTAAAGATAATCTCGTAGGTTTCCAGAGCTTTCAAGTGGACTCCACTGGGCAGGGCGGGGTGCAAACACTGAGCTAACCTCTTGCTGATAACCAGGCGTTTCGGCAACAAGGAATACTTCAGGTTGCTCTGGAGAGCCTGTGCAATGAGGAAAAGCACGTGAGCAAGGCGGAGGTGATATCTGCAACGCAGAGTCAATCTGTTGAGGTGAGGAAGACCACGGTGTGGCCCCAAGACAGATATGCAGGATGGAGGTGATGTAATGGAACGTGACGGGTGGGGATATAGTGGAACCCAGAGGGCCCAGGAAGGGCCATGAGCTAGGCTCTGGGACCACAGGTGGCTGGAAAGCCCCTAGCCAATGCTGGGGAGGAGGAAGGCAGTAGCATGACCGTGTCACCATCAAGCAGGTTTCTTAGCCACACCTTGGACACCACCTGCAGATGACGGCTTGGTGAACCTCCAGCTCCAGAAGAAACCAGTCTACACTCAAGACAAGCAGAACATAGGCTGCGTGGGGCAGACACCCCCTGTCCCTAGCAAAGCCCTGCTATGCCAGCCAAGGAAGCCCTGTGCTTTGTTCGGGGACAGGAAGATAGCTGTCTTCCTTCGCTCTCTCTGCTGAGCTGCCCAGCCAGGTGGCTCTGAGTGGGGGCTCACCTACACTGAGTGGGGGTGGGAGGCACACTTCCTGGCATCTACACCAGCTGAGGTGGTCCTGGGAGGGATCCAGTGTCCATCGGAGAAAACCGCCACCACCCCGTTGGGATGAGCAATGGCGTCTCAGGTGAGGTGTCCAGGGGTGGGACCCAGGGCTGTGGCAAGAAGGGTCTGCAGGATGTGATGTGCCTTGCCAAGACACTGGGTCCCGAGCATGAGCAGGTCAGAGCTGCTCTCCTAGCTTCAGGTGACCACTGCAGAGCCCCGCGGCTGGGAGTAGCTGATGTCTCCGTGGTGCGGCACAGGGTCTGATGCTCTGCTACGCACCCATGTCACAGCACATCCTCCCACACGTGAGTCGCCGAAAGCCCCTGGGTGAACTCCAAGCTGCCTGAGGGCCACCCAGGGGCTTCCAGGCCTGGCTCCTGCCTGTGCTGCTCACTGCTCCCTAACACTCCAGTTCTAGCCTTCGCCACACACAGAGCAGTCCACAGGTCCCACTGGCCTGCTGCTGCTCCTCGCCTGTCCTCTCACCCCGAACAGGGAACCTCCTCTCCACCGCCTGGGGGAGGGACTATCACCCATCTCTGTGGTCTTCAGCACTTCCTGCAGTGCCTAAACCAGAGCAGGCGGCTGGAACATCTGCCATGCCAACTGCATTCCACTTGGCCAGGATGGCCACCCTGGGCCATGTGCCCTGCAGGCCATGACAGCTGTTTTTTTACAAAGAAAATGGTCCCTCCTCTAACACGCACTCAGGTTATGTGGGAGGTAGAGGAGGGAGAGGAAAACAACATGTATCATCAGAGGCCTGAGGCCTACATGAACTCTCAAAGTCAATAAATTACAGATGCACACCTATAGTCCCAGCCACTCAGGAGGCTGAGGCAGGAGGATCTCAAGTTCAGGGTCAGCCTGGGTGACTTAGTGAGACCCTGCCTCAAAATAATATTTTAAGAAAGGGTAGGGGATATAGCTCATTGGTAGAGCATGCCAGGGTTCAATTATCAAGAAATATTTTAAGATATTATAAAAAACCTAGTATTTTACACAGAGGGAAAACCAACAAAATAATTTGAATAATGTGCTTATGTTCAAAAAAAAAATCAAGGAGGCCACTTAAGTTACACACTGTAACAGAAGATGAGAACAAACAGAGATGCTACAGATAGGAAGGCCGCACGGGCACTGGAAGGGAAGGGCACTGGAAGGGAAAGGCACTTTCACAAGGGACATTTTCAAACGTGAGAAAGGCAGGAGGGCCAGGAGCTGTCACCCAGCTGCAGCAAGTGTGGCTCCTGGCCAGCCCAGAGGACACGCTCCCAGAGAGTCCTTTCTACCACTGGTGGCTTGCAGGCTGGTGTGGGCAGGGGGCTCAAGGCTGTCTTCACTGCAAGTTATTTTTGATAAGATGGTTTTCTCTAATCTCAGTTTTGCTCAGTGTAGTTTAAGGACTTCTGCTATTTCTGGTGCCACAGATGTCCAGTCCCTCAGATGGCATTTAGGATTTGTGGGTATTTTGCTCCCCTCAGTCTGTGCAAAGCAGGATTCCATTGTTCTGCCCTTTGATCCCAGGATGGCAACAGGACTTACTCCAGCCAGTGAGGTGAGTGGCACTGTGAGCCGACTCTGGCTTGGGCTTTGAAAGCCAACCCAGAGCTTGTCAGGCCTCTGACCACTCTAAAATCAAGAAACAGAGGCTGGGCTGCGGTTATGGCTCAATGGTAGAGCACTTGCCTGGAATGTGTGAGGCACTGGGTTCTATCCCCAGCACCACATAGACAAATTAAATAAATAAAATAAAGGTATCGTGTCCATCTACAACTTAAAAAAAAAAAAAAAAAAAAGAAACAGAGGCTGACTCCAGGGGCTTGGGAGGCCGAGGCAGGAGGAACACAAGTTCAAGGCCTGCTCCAACAACCTAGTGAGGCTCTAAACAACTTAGTGAGATCCTGTCTCAAAAAAAAAAAAAAAAAAAAAAAACGGCTGGGAATGTGGCTCAGTGGAAAAGCACTCCGGGTTGGAACTCCAATACAAAAAAAAAAAGGTTGAGGGGGAAAAAAAAGGACCCCAGCCTGGGTCCTGAGAAACTGGAGAGACAGAAACCAGCTGCTGACCCAGTGAGCCAGAAGAACACCAGGTGTGAAAGTCAAATGGCTCAGTGGCAGAGCACTTGCCTAGTGTGCACAGGGCCCTGGCCTCCATCCCCAGCACAGCAAAAAAAGGTCTCTGAGATTTGAGGCTTGTCTGTTGCCACAGTATAACCACCACATCAAGATCACCTCCTTCTCAGACAAATTAATAAGAGTCCCTCCTATCTATATGGTGATGTGTCCCAAGACTCCTTGTAGATGTTCAATACCACAGATAATGAGCCTCTCATACTGCATTTTTGCTTATACATCCAATCTACAATAAAGTTTTACTTATAAGTCAGGCACTGAAAACAATAACAAAACAGAACAGTGAAAGCAGTATCATGTACCAGAAATTATGCGAATGTGGTCTCTCTAAGTACCTCACTGTACTGCACTGGCTCTCCTTGTGCAGATGTGAGATGACAGTCCACGTGACAAGATGAAGTGAAGTGCAGGACAGGAAAGTGATACAGCATCGGGGCTGCTGTCAGACCCCAGAAGCAACACAATGTTCAGGACAGCTTCTAGGTGATGAACAGGGAGGGCATGTACGAAGCTGTGTGGACACGTTGGACAGAGGGAGGATGCATGGCCCAGTGGGATGGCAAGAGCAGAAGCTTATCTTTTGGATGCAGTAGTAAGAGTTCCCTTACGAAAGAAAGAGCTATCCATTATTTATTACCTCCTTCTGGATACTAAAAGCTCAGAGCTTGATGGGGTCCTCCACTGCCCCAATTTCTTTGGTTAGACCCCCTGATTCAGAAGTTCCTCTGCCCATGCCCTTGGAAAGGAGCTGAGGCGCCTAGCCTACATGGCCAGCCACATTCTCTTCTGAGGACACTTCTCTGCAGGACCTGGGTGTTCCATGCCTCCTCTCTATTAGGGAAGATGGAGTGTACTATCTGTAGCTGCTGCTACTTTTGTAAAAGAAGGTATTCTAGAAGGAACAGCCCTTGCCTGGGAGGATCAATACTGAACACTGTGCACTGCTGCTGGGGATGCATACCACGTGGCCACTGTGGAGAACAGTGAGGTGACTCCCCCAGAGACTGAACATTTCATTTGCTTATCAAAGTGTCATCAGATCAACCAATCCCACGTCTAGATATATATCCAAAAGGTGTAAAAGCAGGGACATTAGCAGATACTTGCAACCCCTTGTACACAGCAGCAGTATACACAGCACTGCCAACGACAAACAGCCTGGTGTCCACTGATGATGAAGGGCTCAACAAAATGGGAATACACGGGCTGGGGATATGGCTCAAGCGGTAGCGCACTCGCCTGGCATGCGTGCAGCCCGGGTTCGATCCTCAGCACCACATACCAACAAAGATGTTGTGTCCGCCGAGAAC